CCCAACCAAAAAAAAAAAAAAAAAATCCACACCCTTGAATATAGTCATTACATCACCGTCCTTTGACATGCATCGCTTCAGAATTTGACGCATAAGCGATCTGATTCTGTGCTCTTTAAAACGACTTTGACGACTAACTTTCTAACGACCAATTTGACGACAAACTTTTCTAGCCGACTAGGAGTGCCAGGGAACGAGGTGGAAAGCGGTTCTTCAAGTGTCCTAGCTTCTGGATGAATGCCATCTCCTTTCCTAGACGAGAGCCAGTGAGGACGACAACGCCGAGGTAGGTGCTTTTTCAACATGGATCTCTCTTCAGAACGGCGGGAACCCTTTCTCAAAGAACAAGTTAGACAACAATGAGTGACAGGGAAGAAGTGGAAGTGTTGCTTCGAGTGCCACCTCTTCGTAATGAATGCTATCTTTTTTTTTTTTTTCTCTATATAAAAGTTGAGTAAAGTAGAAGGAAGTGTCGTCTCTTAATGGTATCTCTTCTTATCGGCACAGAAGTTGGGAAAAATAGGAGGACGACAACTGGTTGATGGGAGAGGGAGTGACAGGGAAGGGCGTGTTTTTTTTTTTTTTTTTTTTTTTTTTTTTTTTTTTTTTTTTTTTAAAAGTTTTTTTTTATTGTTTTTTTTTTTTTTTTTTTTTTTTTTTTTGAAGAAAAAAATTTTTTTTTTTTTTTTTTTTTTTTTTCAGAAGTGTTTCTTCAAGTGTCATCTCTTCAGTATGCATATCCTTTTCTACACAAAGGACAAGAAAGGAGAGAAGTGGAGGACTGAAACTTTTTGCTGCCTCTGGTACAAGCCCACTGTTGAGCAGAGATTTAAAGGGGGATTCGGCATCGACCAATGTATAGGAGGAGTGGGTATAGATGATGCCGGTTTTGGGATTACACTATTAGTTTTGCAATTCTTCGTGTATTAATTATATTATAAATATAGAATGTTAATACGTTCTGAAATTTGAAGGGCCATACTGAATGCACTAAGACCTTTTGTGGACTGAATCTGGCTGTAATTATGGCTAGAAAAGTCTCAGAACATATGAGATAACATTAACAGAAGTATTTAAAAAAAAAAAAAAAAACCCCTTAGAGACTTGTTAGAGTCGTAGACCCCCCATGCATAGCCGCTCTTGCCGGTCCAACAAAAAAACAAAAAAAAGAATAAAAAAAAAACTTAAAAAAAAAAAAAAAAAAAAAAAAAAAAAAAAAAACATTAACAGAAGTACGCAGTGTGTGTAAGCTCAAGGTAGGGAGACAATTATATATTTGTTTGAATTTGAACATTCGAATAGAATCGACACTTTTTTTTTTCTTTTTTTTTCTTAATACTGGAATAGTAGTACGTGCCTGTAAATTTGCCAGCGTTTGGCGATCCTCACACAGTGTCAGTCGAACGTATCCGGACACTTTGTCATCGTCTTGTCATGTGAAGGAGGCACATTCACTTAAGTTTGTTCAACACGTATTTGTATATGCCTCCTGGAGTCCTTGTGCCATTTTCAACGGCACTTCGCCATTTTCACTGTGGAAAAAAAAAAAAAAAAAAAACATAGCATAATTTATTAATTTCAATAATTTGGCAATTTGCTTCAGAAATTGGTATTTCAATTTATTTAATACTATTTATATTTTTGTTTCCCTCTTTACACCCATCATCTGAATAGTCCCACGAATACCCACCCTTCTCTCTAGATCCAGTGATGATGCACTTGCCCACCATGGTACATGGAACCAGCATTATTGGGGTTTACAACTTTACACCCCATACTAATATGGAACATGGGACCACAATGGGACCACATGAGACCTCCATGGGACATGAAACCATATACTGATATCTTGTCTTATGATCTCTACTGTCTTCTGGAAAATCATGAATCTCCTCCAGCTCTTTGCAGCATTGGTAAAGGATTGATAGCCATTCGCTGAATTTCGCTCACAGTTTGTATTCGTAGTATTTTCATACTGGAAATCAAAATCAAATGAGCTTTTGCCCTKTTGCTCCACACGAGATTTCTGTTCTCGAACTTCTCATTGACCTCATCTTAGGACACTTGCGTCATCTTCTAACCGATGTGCTTTGACTATACGGTTTACCGGG